ATAGCACTAAATTACCCCCTAATCCACTTAGATTTTGGCACCCCTGATAAAAAATTCCTAGCTTTGTTGCTCTGTCCAACCCAGACTTAACCTATTGATAGCATTAAATTACCCCCCAATCCACTTAGATTTTAGTTCCCCTCATAAAAAATTCCTAGCTCCACCCTTACCCAAAATTATTAGGTTCAGAGAGAAAGAGAAATAATTTGTTAGTAAAATAAATCATCAATTAATTGAATAATTTAGTAAATTAAATAAGTAGAAATCTATGGATAATAATTTACTTAAATTTTATAAAATAAATAAATCAATTATTTAATTTTATAAAATAAATAATTAAATATTTATTTATTATTGGGACATGACTGGTCCAAGTTATCTAGAACCAAAACTGACTCATTGACATGTGAAATTAAATAAATAAAAAATAATATATTTAATTTAATAAAAAATAATAATTAATTAATTAAAATTTCACTTTTGAAGTCAATTTAATATAAATAAATCAATTTGTTGTTAAATAAAGAATACAAATCTTTTTTCTCGATTTCTTGGTCGGGCTTTGGGCTTTATATGGGGGTTGGGCTTGGGCTCAAGATTTAGGCCTGATGGTCTGGTCATGCTCAGACTTGGACTTGAGAATATGTTCTATTGATATAAAGGCAAAGCCCGATGTGACAATTTTTTTTATTTTATATTATTTGGTTGACCCATTATGTCCAAATGACTGGATCATTAGGGTGCAAATTGTGTAGGTTGGTCCGAGTTTATGCTCAACCTAAACCCAAACCCTATACATTGGGTTAAGGCTTAAGGCTTGAGTCCAAGATCAAGCTTGATCTGTCCAATTTGAGCCCAACCCATTGAAATTTGATGCACTTAGGTTGGTCTTAAGCTTGAATTGGTCAATTATCCCCATACTAAAATTTGACATCAATATATTTATATATGTATACTTATATGCAAATATATATATACATATATATATATATGTGTGTGTATGTAATTTGGCTAGGTTTGAATTATCTAAGTTTGGGACTAGGTCCAAACTCAACCCAAAGACAAAAAATCCAAAGCATTTCATCTAAAACTGCAAGTTAGGTTGGTCCATGCTCAGGTTGCACCATTATGTATTACTGACCACAAATTAGATGAAAAATTGTTTTCTTTATTAATTAGTTAGTTTAATAAATCAACAAATAATTTTCATATAACTTAATTAAACAATTCATCAATTCTTACATAGTACTGACGGTTCTAGCTAGCAGGATCTCCTCAAACTAGCTTGATCCGGATCATTGTTTTTATGAACAGATATTTATTTTTCAAAGTAAAACCAGCAGCACCTAAAACCACAATCACAACCTCATTAGAGAAATATTAGATTAAAAAAAGATTTCTTGTTGGTATGTTAGTATTGATGTGGAATCAGTTATGACAATCATCAATTTGGGGAAAAGGGATTATTAATAGTGAGTAGCACTAAATACAATTAATAATAATAATAAT